GTGTACACACCACACACAGGCACCCCCATACACAAAGATTCAAAAGAATTTTTAATAATTTATTTTATGTATATGAATCCACTGTAGCTGTCTTGATACACACCAGAAGAGGGAATCAGATTCCAATACAGATTGGAACCATACAGTGAACCACCATGTGGAATTGAACTCAGGACCTCCAGAAGAGCAATCATGCTCTTAACCTCTGAGACATCTCTCTAGCCCTTCAAAAGAATTTTTAAAAGTCAGCGAAGTGGAAATTTCTGGTTTCTTTGGAGACTCAGTTGTGCCATGTGATGTTTTTCTGGAAACTGTCTTATGAGAAGATGTTTTTGCTGAAGTAGACTGAGAGGATGTTTTGGTGAGAACAGACATGTGGTGTTTTTCTGGAAGCTGCCTGGAATAAGGGTATGTGATGTTTTGCTAGAGCAGATGCTTGAAAGAACATGTGATGTTTGGAAAAGCTATAAATATAACCCAACAGACAGTGACAATGCTGTGTGGTATTGGTTCGCCTTTGCTGGTCATTTGTCACGACTTCACAGAGAGAAAAACCACCAAAGAAGTTCTAGTGGTTTTCTGGTGACTTCTTGCCACTTCCAGTGACTTGAGACAACTGGCAGAGCCTTGAAGTTTCTTCTGGATTGAGCTGCCACTGCTGACTCTTGTGAACTGAACTGCTGATGTCCCGACAATGCAGACTGGATTTGTTCCAAAGAACTATTTCTAAACAGGTCCACATTCTCCTCTACCCTATTAACTGTTCCTTTCCACTCCCTCTGGTGGGTGGTGGGCTAGAAGGGAGGTTAGAGCATTTAAGAACCCATATTAAAAATAAGTTTGGAAAAAATATAAGCCTACAAGTAAGTTAAAAAAAAAAAGACAAGGCCACAGCTGTAATGTGTGACAGGATCGGTTTCTATATTTTAACCCTGTCTCTCACATCTCCACTAATAACCATCAGGTTCTGCTGTAGTGGATTCTCAGGCAGGGAGAAAAGGCACTGAGAGTACGGGCATTACTGTGACGTCAGAGCAGGAGGAGTGAGCAAGATAAGGAGAATTCAGCAGAAGAAGCCGGCAGGTCTTCACAAAGTCACAACAGGTCTTTCCTTAGTCTTACTAAAGAGAACAAAGCTTTCTTCTTACAGACTTGGGTTTAATTCATTTAGCAATAAAAGGTTAGAAGCTTTTTCTTTCTCTATGCAGTAAAGATTGGAGCTCATTCTTCATCCAGAATGAGTGAGTGCTTTCTGCTCTGGTGCTTGGTCTTTTGCTCCACATGCATGTGTAAGTATGGATGTGTGTAAGTATGTAATTGTGAGAATGTGAGAATGCATGCATGTGTGTAAATATGTAATTGTGAGAATGTATGCATGTGTGTGTAAGTATGTAATTGTGAGAATGTATGCGTGTGTGTATGTAATTGTGAGAATGCATG